ACTTTTGATTGTTTGGTGTGGAGGAGTTGGTGATGGGCTGAATTAAAATGAGTCTGAACGTCCGCTCTTTGATTTACATGGACCAAACTCACTAACCCAGTGGTCCCCAACCTTTTTACACTTATGTACCCCCTGAGACATTTTTACATACCATTAGTACCCCCTCTGTCAAACGTATAAATTATTCTCCAAAACGGTAACCCCATAGTTCTCAGGCATTTTATTCATTTCAAATTAAATTAAACATAAAGATAAAAATGTTGCCTTGAAAGTGAATAAGTAATTAAACCAGGTAATGGCAGGTGCAGAAAACAGCGGCGTCCAAAATACATCAAATATCCCAAATGAGGGAATTCTGCGAGATTCCTCGTTTTACACGGGGTTCCATTTTGTGTCCATTTCTTGGTTTTCGTTTGCATTTTCCGCATTGCCGAAATAATATGGCTCTATATATCTCAGTCCTATTTTTATTTATTTTTTTACACACCTGAGAAAATTTTCCATGTCCCCCCTGTAACATAGCCACGTACCCCTGGTTGGGAATCACTGCACTAGCTTGACCTGGTGGACCAGCTCAGTATTCTTACCAAAACTTGTGAATATTTGTATGTTAGAAAAATTCATTTTCCTGCTGTAAACAACGTTTGAGTAGTAGGAAGTCCACCTAAAGGATCTAATCCTAATCCTAATGTAATCCTCCAACAGAAAGACCCCATTAGCTCAACGCATTCAGCTTATGAACCTATTAGCTTATGCTAACAATTTGTTGCTAATGTTTTTCAAGCTAACAGGGTAAAACATATTATACAGCTTACAATATTCAACAGTTCAATAAATAATACCTAAATTTGAGTACTTTAAGAACATACCTTGTGTTGAAAACTTGTTGGAAACAAAACATAAAAAGAAAAAAAATACTCTAAAATTGCTAAAATTAGGCTAATTAAATGCAACCTACGTCAAAGTGAAAATCAGGGGCGGGGCAACCGTAGAAATGGCCCCTGCTGAAATCTGATTGGCTCCCTGAAATGCCAGCAAAAGTCTTTCTAATGACGAAGGATGGCTGGATTTTCTCATGTGCTGTGTGTTTCAGAGTATTTTGTTTATGTACAGTAAAAATGTATGTAAAATTGGTATAAAGAATTTATTGCGCAAGCTTTTTAAAATTACAAGTGTTTGAACAAGTGACTGGTTACATCTTACCAAAATCGGGGATTTGTGTGCAAGGATGTAGAACAAATACTCGTCCCCGCTTTGACTATTATGGCCGCTTGGAAAAATCCTAGAGCCGCCAATGAAGTTAAAATACCTTGGAGATAAAGTAACAACATATATTTCTATAAGATAGATACAAACTGGAGTTAAAATAATCAGAATATTCATAAATACTAAAAAAGAAGAAAGTTGAAAAAAACATTTATTTCTGTTTATTTTAATGGGAGCTTGGGCGTCTTTAGAAAGAAGCTATTTAACATTCTTGTTCTTGATTAATGGGGCAGCTTTGACCGTTCACATCAATAAAAGGGAGCTCGTTAGTCAAATTAAATCCAACAGCTGGGAGAGAAATGGGATGTTTTCACAGACAATAGTGTTCTCTCTTCGTCTCCTAATAAAGACATTTTTCTCAGTTTTGACTGCAGCTGATATTAAAAACACCATCAGCATCAGCAGCCGCCATTATTGGCTGTTGTTCTGCCATAACTCTGTTTCTTTATCACGCAGAATAACTGCTAAACAAATATATCCAATATCCCTTCCAGTGCCAGAAAAATGCTTTAAAAGTTGGAACTCGTAGGTTTCCTCATGAAAACGATGCAACAAAGAAGTGAGCATAAAGTTGACCTTGTTTTTATTTATGAGTAAAGGCATCACCGGAGAGCAAAAACGTAATATCTCATTTTTTTATTCATCGCTCAAATATATCGATCTTTTTTTTAATGGCTGAAACATAAACAAGCACCAGAGGCTAAACCTTTTAAATTTATTTGATCCTCAGCTTATTGGTGAAACAAACGGTGTCTTAGAGCTGTGCACAGCGGAGCTTAAGTCAAGCAATGAGAACGTCGCCTGACTTTATTAACTTTGGGAACACATTGTTCAGTTAATTTAACAACCGTTTTTTCCCCCTAACCCTTTCAGAGTTTTTGACTGACTGCAATAACTGGCATTTTCCCTTTATTCAAATAAAACGTCTCCTTCAGATGTTACCCTTGACTTTTTTTCTGTTCTTTTCCCCCTAAAAGCAGTACTTAATAAAATATCCTCTTTCCACGGCCAGGAGGAGTGAAAAAGCACTAAAGTGTCCTTCTGTATTGATTTTTGTGTCTTGATTAATAGGTTTTGATACATTTTGCATTTGATCTTTTTGCATATGTGTGTTTCTATCGCCTCCAACACTGTTTAGATCACTTTCACCAGTGTGTATTTTTTTTTTCAGCTAGAGGATGCTGTTTTTATTTAAATAATTAATATTTTTTTGGGGAAGGAAACATAACAAAAGCTGTAAAAATAACTGGATAAACTGCCAAACCTGAGAACATAGTGACACTTCCAGCAGCTGCAAGGAAATATTAATTAAAAGGTTTTGGTGAGGAGTGAAAACAGCTGAAAGAAAAGCAAATATTGGATGAGTTTTTGTTTGTTGGCCACAAAATTCACAACTGTAAAAAAGGTGTTTGTTTGGTGTTGACAGTTGTTTGTGCTGCTTTCAGGAAGTGTCACCAAAAACTTGTTAATAACATTTTTTAAAATGGCACTGAGGAAAAAAATAACTTCAGGCCAACACTGGTAATAAGAATGCAAGGATGTGTCTATTTGATTTGATTTTACGTTTTTAATAAGCATGGAGGGAACATAAAATGGATGTCAAAATATGTATTTATGTTTCTTGTTCAGAATGTTGAATAAGTTTTTTTTCCTCTGGAGAAAATAAGTTTCTTTTTTTTTGTTTTGACAATTAATGATTCAGTTTCACACTAATTTCAATGTGATTAATGTTAATCTGTTACTTCTGCCTTTCTTATAAAATTCAACTTGTTCAGCAGATGGTTGTGATGATTTTTTCTGTAACCTTTAGACATTTTTTATAATAATGAACTCATTTTACAAATATTTTCACCATAGAAATGCATTGAGATCTCTTCAGTTCCCTCAAAAAATCTTCACTTCTGCTCTGTTTTTGTCTTATTTACTTCTTTTTTATTTTTTAGTCACTTCTCTGAGTCTTGGCTTTTGACTACCATTTTGATACTCTTCATTTTTAGCCACTGTTATGGTACGTTTAGCTTTGAGCTAGCTATTTTATAGCTTGAGCTTTTAACTAAAATTGTGCTTTTTTAGCTAGTTTTTGCTGCATTTAGTTTTTTATTTGTCATTGTTCTGTTACTTTTATTAACACTTTTAGCAACTCATTTGCTACTTTAGATGTTAACTAACTGTTGCTAGTTTTAGTTAGCATTTTGCTATTTTAGTTATTAGTTAGCCTTTTGCTACTTTAGTTTTTAACTAGGCTTTTGCTATTGTTAGTTTTAGTTAACCTTTTACTACTTTAGCTATTAATTAGCCTTTTACTACTTTAGCGTTTAACTAGGCTTTGCTACTGTTAGTTTTAGTTAGCGTTTTGCTATTTTAGCTATTAGTTAGCCTTTGGCTACTTTAGCTTTTAACCAGGCTTTGCTACTGTTAGTTTTAGTTAGTGTTTTGCTATTTTAGCTATTAGTTAGCCTTTGGCTACTTTAGCTTTTAACTAGGCTTTTGCTATAAGTTAACATTTTGCTACTTTAGCTATTAGTTAGCCTTTTGCCACTTTAGCTTTTAACTAGGCTTTGCTACTGTTAGGTTTAGTTAGCCTTTTGCTATTTTAGCTATTAGTTAGCCTTTGGCTACTTTAGCTTTTAACTAGGCTTTTGCTATTAGTTAACCTTTTGCTACTTTAGCTATTAGTTAGCCTTTTGCCACTTTAGCTTTTAAATAGGCTTTGCTACTGTTAGGTTTAGTTAGCCTTTTGCTATTTTAGCTATTAGTTAGCCTTTGGCTACTTTAGCTTTATCCAGGCTTTGCTACTGTTAGTTTTAGTTAGCATTTTGCTATTTTAGCTATTAATTAGCCTTTGGCTACTTTAGCTTTTAACTAGGCTTTTGCTATAAGTTAACATTTTGCTACTTTAGCTATTAGTTAGCCTTTGGCTACTTTAGCTTTTAATTAGGCTTTGCTACTGTTAGTTTTAGTTAGCCTTTTGCTACTTTAGCTATTAGTTAGCCTTTTACTACTATAGCTTTTAACTAGGCTTTCGCTATTAGTTAACCTTTTGCTACTTTAGCTATTAGTTAGCCTTTTGCTACTTTAGCTTTTAACTAGGCTTTGCTACTGTTAGATTTAGTTAGCCTTTTGCTATTTTTGTTATTAGTTAGCCTTTGGCTATTTTAGCTTTTAACTAGGCTTTGCTACTGTTAGTTTTAGTTAGCGTTTTGCTATTTTAGCTATTAGTTAGCTTTTTATTACTTAATGTTTTAGATATTTTTGTTGCTTTTAGTTTTTAGCTATCCTTCCACTACTTTAGCTATTAGCTAGTCATTTGCAACTTTAAGGTTTTAGCTTTACCTTTGCTACTTTTTGCTTTCAGTTAGTCTTTTGCTGCTTTCAGCTTGTGCAGTTCAGTTTTAGCTTTTTCAGTAAACGTTCTCAGAAAATGTTGTTTCTCTGATTAATTGCAGGTTAACTGCCTTGTTTATCTTTCTGTTGTTCCAGATTATTTTACTGACAGAACCTGAATCTGTGACTTTATTTGTCCATTTTTCCTGCAATATTTATGCAACTGAAACAAAAAGATAAAAACTAAATAAAAAAATAAAATAAAAAACAAAGAGCTGCTCACTCCAAGCATTCAAAGACTGGATTAATTCCTGTTTCACTTCAGACTCTATAAAAACAATTTCCTCTCTGGTAATTGGCTGTTCTGAGGCCTGCTTTGATTTGAGACGGAGAAGACTTTCATCACTCACCATGTTGATGCCCCTGGGCACAGAGGCAGATCTGTAGGGGTATCTGGGGAAGTCGTGATGAAGCTGAGGAAGAGGAATCTTCATCTTAAATCCTTCATAGAACTGTGGAGGAGGTGGGATCACGTTGTCCTCGTTTATTTCTAGCGGCAGCGGTGGCTCTGTTTTGATCTCCAGGTCCTGTGGTTCCTCGTCCCTCCTGACCGAGTCGATGTCTGTTTCCAGGTAGACTTTCGGTGGTGGTTTTTCAGAGCTCCCATCTTCTGGAGACTTCGGCTCAGGTAAGGGGCTCTGTTGTTGCTGGGCCATGGGAGGAAGCAGCCCAGAGCTCACCACGTGGATCAGCTCCTCAGGCAGATCTGATGGAGGAACTGGTTTGTCTAACGCCTGCAGGCAGTTTGGTTTCAGCACGTTGGACGTCACTTCATCCAGAAACCGGGAGAACTTCACTTTGGCTTTTGTCCTTTCCTGGCGGACCCGATGCAGTTGTGCACTCTCAGAGCTGGTTTGTGCACAGCTCCTCCCCAGATGCAGACTCTTATAGCTGCAGCTCCCTCTCTGCCCAGCCTGTGGATGAGCTCTGCAGTGAGGCCCCCTGGATGGACGAGCCGGGAGCTCCCCCAGTGCTCGGTCCTCTCTGAGTCGAGTCTGAAACGCTTCCTGGCACTGCTTCCTGATGGAGCTGTGCAGGAGGCGGGTAACTCCAGAGGTCCAGCTTCCCGAGCCCTCGCTGCTGGAGCTGCTGCTGGGGTCACTGGGGCTGGACCACTGGCTGGGGGAGGATTGGTTAGATGATTGGTCTGTCATCTCCATGTTTTGATCACTGGTCATTGAGGAGTACTGGATGTCAGGGACTGAACTGGGTGACTCGTTGCATCCTTGTTTTTGACTGTGGCCTTCAAAAAAGTGTCCTCAAAAAGTTTTAAATGGAGACGGTCCAATGGATTGCTCTGATTTTAAAGAATTCTACCCCATTCCGGTTTCATTATTGTGCAAGCCCGACCTAAAAGCAGCTCGATACATTTTGACTCGGGGCTGAACAGATGGCCTCCTTCGGTGCCAGGATCACCCCCGCCATGTCATGCAAGGACATCCATATTTTAATGCTGCAAATAAAGAAAGTATAAACATCTCATAAGCTCTGCAGAAGCTTTGTTTCAACTCAAACAATCTTATCAACCTCGTCTTTCCTGTCTGAGAAAATCTCATTTCTAATTAGACTTTCTATTGACGGCTCCGAGTCGAAGCTTTTTCAGATTTTTTTTTCCAGGTCAGTGGTTTGAGACGAGCATTGATCCTATAGAGCATATGACATCAAACACACACACATAGAAAGACTAATGGAAAGCCTTGTTGAGCCATGGATTAAATTAATCTCGTCGATATCACTCATTATGGTGCTTTTAAAAATGTTGGAAGTGGAGATTTTCAGTCGTGATTTTCCTGTTTGAAACAACCCGGTATTTACGTAAACAAATTAGAATCTTCTGTGTGCACTGAAACTGCTATCTGAAGCTTGGAAAAAAAAGAAATGTGGTGTAAATGTGCTTTTTAGCCAACTGGGCTGAATATAGAGAAACGCTGCCAGAACAACTTTGTGTGAACAGGGAAAAAAAGTGCCAAACATTAATGTAGAAGATGTACCAAGCAGTTAACGTACACTGTGTTCATTCCTTTTAAAGATTTTTTCATTTTAAGAAAAGAAAAACAGTAAAATACATTTGCCTAATTTTTTTTAATTGGACGGCCTTATGTGTTAGTTTAATTTATTGTTTCAGTTTATTTAAACTGAACACATTTCAATGGATAAGAAGAGTCCTTAAACATTTAAAATGCTGAAAGAGTTGCCTTAATGAAAACAATCAATCAGGAAGTTCTGTGTTCATTATCACTGTATCTTAGTCAAGAGGGTGAGGTGTTATTTCTTTGTTTCAGATATTTTATGAAGGTGAATGTTAGGGTTAGGGGTTAGTTTTCAAAAAATAGTTTAGCTCTCACATTTTGCCTAAAGGGCAGAAGAGGTTGATGTGGAAAGAGATGTTTGTACCCAAGACTCAAATCTGGAACATTCTGGAGATAATAGATGGATGGATGGATGTTGGATGGATAAATGGATGGATGTATGGATGGATGTTGGACGGATGGATGGATGGATGAATGAATGGATGGATGAATGGATGTTGGACGGATGAATGAATGGATGGATGAATGGATGTTGGACGGATGGATGGATGGATGAATGGATGGATGAATGGATGTTGGACGGATGGATGAATGGATGGATGAATGGATGGATGAATGGATGGATGAATGGATGGATGAATGGATGGA